TCTAAGGTATCGCCAATATTTTGTGAAGAGTTACGACAGGTTACCTGGCACGAAATACGTAGGCCTAGCATTGACACCACAGACTAGTCAATATTTTCTTCTGTCGAAGTGGGACGTGTCCCTGGCCTCCCACAAACCCAGACCTCCTGAACCAATTTATTTATTGCCCTGAAAGAGAACTACTTGAACTCTTGACTGTCACATCTTCAGATTGCTCAGTTGTAAATACTTCTTAGTTGGTTGGTTGTTAAATAGTGTTCCTTGTGCGTAGGTTTATTTCAAGTTTGTACGTGTAAATGTCAGAAAATGATAGAGTAATAAACAACTAAAAAACGAAAAATACCCACGAAAATAAGCACTAAATAATCGTCTATTTAGGGAATTTATGCACGGGTTTTAATTAAATGGTCTGTTTTTTCTAATCCCTAAACAGTATTTGAGTAGAACTCCGAGTGTGCGAATGTTAAGTCAACAATTAAATTACGTAGTGCATCGCGCTGCAGATTTCAATTTCGATTGGAATTATCGTATGTAAAATAATTTTACGAAAACCTACGAACAGTATTGCCTCGTAACTTATTAATCTTGAAGAATTTCAAGTGTATACAGAGAAAACAAAACTGAGAGTAGTTGTAGAAAATGAATGAACGTTCGTATGTTCAACTTTTACGTTATTACATAAGTGCACAAATACCAGTTTTCAAATGAATGTGGCCCACAAATTATTCTTATTAAGCTTCACTAACACCTTATTCAATTAATCATACAAAACAGTCGCCTTTTAATGTTAGATACGGATGTAACGCTAGATTCGCATACAATACGATTAATAGAGCAGTTGCAGAAGTAGAAGGGAACACAAATTAGACTGAGTTTGTAAGTTTTTAATCTCTTCAAAAATTAGGGAAGAAAAATAAGGCAGTGTTAAGGAAATCTGGGGAATAATCAAATGTGTTTGTAAAAGATATAGCGACAGAAATTTTGGAACTAATTTGGAATGATCTGCATTTTTTCATTTAGCATTTGTACTAATGCAAATGTGCTATGTCTGTTTTTGTGCATAATATCAATAAAAGCGTAAAAATGTAGCTGTACTACAATTTAACTATTAGTATCATCAAAACCTGCAAGTATTTGTTACGGCGATTATAATTTTGAAATTGCAGTAAGACCAGTTCATATCCCATATGGAGGTAAAACACAAGTCCATTGGATGTTGGAAACTTTTTAACGGGGCACGGAAAAAAGATAACAGATGTAGTATACCAGAACCATGATACTTTAACAAGGGAATTGTTACAGTATCATGGATCTGGTATTCTGCAACTCTTCTTTTTTCGTGTAAATTCATCAGATACTATGATTAATTGGTGAGTTCAATGCTAGATACTGAAAGAACATATTGGAACAAAGCGGGGCATGAAAGAAATGGAGTGTGAAAGAAATTTTCAACATATGAAACTATTTTTAAAACAATTTACCTCATCGGCGATGCTACATTTTACTGGTATGAAATTATTACTAACAATTTTAAAAATGAGAAAGAATTAGGAAAATAAATTTCTCCACGTATTGAATTCTGAAATGTGTCTACTAAGGTCAGACATACTCATGAAGTGTGACACCAGAATGAATCCGGCATAACAATTACAATATCTGAGCTGCCATACACCGTAACATGTATGCCACTCATGAAACCGGTTCCGCTTGGTTTCAACACCTTGTGACCTCATCGTGGGGTCATATATGTAAGTTGCCGTAAATGGTAAACGGTACATCACGCAAAGTACACCATTTCAATTTACTTTTATCGCAGACCACCTCCCTATGGGCCCCTTCCTAGGTCCCACGTGTTCTCTGTATCTCTGTTCTCTTTCCCTAGAGAAGAGGGCACTTCACAGAATGAAAAGTCATAACACTATGTTGATTTCGTTCGAGTCATCACACTTTCCTCTGGGAATACGTTCACAGAATCCGCTTCATAAAAACACATTTTTAAATATTTTTCTTGCCTGTGCTGATTTGTCTTTCAAAATAGTAATCAGAGAGATCAAAGTATGTAATGTCCAGATACGTTTGTTTTTCTTTTCATGTTTATCGATTTATCTTTTCACAGTAAAGTTGTGGAACAGCAAGCATTCACTGATGAACAGTCCTCAGCACTCGTTTGTGAGAGAACAGAAGTATAGAAGTGCTTTTGATGAGTAAAGTAAATGTCAGTATTCTGTGTAACGTTTTACCAATGTAAAGAATAATGGAAGGGAGGGACAAGGGAAAGTACTCACGAAAATAACATGATCAGAAAGACAATATTATATTCCCCCAAAAATTGTTTTTTTCAGATAACCACAAAACTTATCATGCCCAGAATTTGCGACAGTAAAACCTTAAAAAACATATTTTGATAGTCATTTTTTTCTGCGCGTAATATTGCGCACAGGATATTGTTCGTTTCTTTCTGTAACGTGTAATATCCTGCGAGTATTAGTTACTAGTAAAAATAGTCTCAATGACATTTCACCTACAGCTAACGCTTTTAGGAAAAAATATTTGGCAGGCCCCTGATAACCTTCTGGAACCTAGGGGTGGAGGGAGAGAATCGCTCTTCCCTGTGTGATACGAACATGCATCTTACCTCACTTAAAAAGAAACTATTCTCATCCCATAACCCACATAACTGACGAATTCACCAAGTCTCGAGGGCAGAAAATGAAAGCCTCGAACGAACGAGGGCAGTGTGTGTTGCCGGAAGCAGAGCGAGTCAACAAGGCACTAAAAATATTTTAGCAAAAAATGCATTGAAAGTTATGTTTTGCACAGACTCGAGGTTGCTGTGCCCAAATCACGGTCTATCAAAGCCTCGTTACTAACTCTAAAACGCACAAGAGAAGCGGAGCACTTTGTTCGTGTATTAAGGATGCTCACAGAATTTTTTTTGTATATATTCAATTTGCTCTGTCACTTTCTTGACTTGCGTTGGTCGTTCTCTGTTTACTGCGAGTATGAAGTCAATTCGTTCTCATTGGTTACGGTTAGAGAAAAGAGCCAATAATATACTATTCTTTCTTTTATTTCAACTAAACTATATTTTCTTTTCTTGATAGTATATTAGGATGTTGGTTTGTTTCAGATCGATGAACTCCGACATTTTTTCCCATGAAAGTTAGCACATCGACATGTTTGTTTTTGTTTGTTTTTGTTTGTTTGTTGTTTTTTTTCATGGAGAAAACTTTTATGCTGTTCATTTTGTTGTAACTCCAGTAGATGGCGCTGCAGCTTAAGATATCGCTTCAGTCAAATGCAAATCCCAACCCACCAGGAAATTGCATTTATTGTTGCAGTGCGTTAGCATTTAATGCGATTTGGACAGTACGAGTGGGCGGCGCGGGATGTAGACGGGATGAAACTAATGCTGAGCTAGGAGACGACAACAAAGGGGCGATTGCGGCTTGAGAACAACCAGGTCGTAGCAGCGCTGACGAAGCGGGAAGATGGCAGCGGGACGAAATTCCGCTAGTTCAATCTAAACCAATTAATTTAGATGTTTAATTTTCACCTACTTTTAACTTCTCAACATTTAATACTTCAAGGAAAGTTGACAATTGCAGTACGCTAACAAACGGGCCATAGACCGCGCTTGATCCTTCCTTCCTCTTCCTGGACCTATCCTGACTTATACACACACACACACACACACACTTATATGCACTACACTACCACACAGGTCGGGAGACCAGTGGGAAGCTTAGTGCTTGTTCGTCTTGGAGTGGTGTCCCGCTGGTGAGAGATACTTGGATGAGGAAACCTCGCTAGTCATCGTGTAGGTCGGCGCCAGATCTCATCATTCAGTGGGGGAAGATCGCCGCCTCCTCCCGCGATACAAAACGTGCACTACATTTACGGGTCTAATGACCTTAGCAGTTGTCGCAATCGGTAGCAATCCAGCGAAATAGGGATGCGGTACAAAAAGCAATCTTCGCTGTAAAATCAATGCTTTACACAGTGCACTATAATTGCACGAGTCCAGCAAGTGAACGTTTATTCACTAAACACTCATTCAATTACTCAATTGTTGACTGAAGTAAATCAATAACAGAATTTTGAAAACGCAACCATGTATTTGGACAAATACCTCGATGGTTCAAATTAAAATGTTCTGACTACCCTTGTGGAATCCCCTTTCATGACAGGCAGGGTGTAGATTTATTTCTCGCTCATGTTACGTCATTCTTGCAAGGTTCTTGCCCTGTCGCTTCACATTGTTCATCACATAATTCCCCAATCGTATACAATTCTCGCGCGGCAGTAGAATGTTTATTGCAGGAGAACACGTGATGGAAAATCCGATGAATCTTTGATTGAGCGTCAGTTTGCATCTGACATACACGGGCGTTGGAACGGATTTGCAACACTCCCGGTGACTTGAGTTCTAAGAAGCCCCGCCCGAGCCAGTTAGAGCATCCATCAAAGTCAATCGAGGATCGAACGCTTTCAAGCTACTAAAATTAAGTTTTTGAAAAGTTAATTTCTCAAAGAATATTGCTTAATCCAAACATTTTACCACATTCCTATCCAACGATATAACTATATCATGAACTGTCACCTCTCAAATGAAACAAACAAGTAAAGAAACAATTGCATCCACATATCTGCTATATTCCCTTTTTGGTACCGTCTGCCCTCGTTCGTCCACTAAATGATTCTTCTTCGCTTTCACAATCAACGAAATTTAAAGGGCTGAAAAGAGGTGTAATAACAATCACAGCTTAATAGCCAATAAGATTGATTCGTCTCTCAATCTAAACTCCTCAGTCAAACCAGAAACTTTATAAAAAGAAAAACTCAATCCTGCCCTTGAAGAAATCTAATGAATTCTCAGAGAAATCTAAAATCTAATTGCCAACGTTTCATGAGTTTAATGAAGCCTTGCCCAGGAATATAAAATAAACAATTTACATTCATCTAGCAACCAATTCTACATATAAGACATTTTTTATTAGGAATGGAATCATCTATTGAAAGTATAATGAACTCCCTGCCAGCGTCAAACATCCCCCCCTCGTGCGCACACACCACACAATGATTGATTAGATTCCAGGCACGTCAACTGCTAAGGGCAATAGTCCTGTAAGTGTACTGCGTGATTTTTGCTCGAGAAGTGGCGGCGATCTTGTCCCTCTGGATGATGAGATCTGGCGCCGATCTACAGTTGGCTAGAGGGATTTTCCCCAACCAGATATCTTCCACAAGCGGGGCACCCCCCCACCCGGGACAAGCTGACATCCGGTCTCCTAGAATGTGTGGTAGTGTAGTGCATGCTAGTGTGTCTGTAAGGGATGAGGATATGACAAGGAACGGGAAGGAAAGGTCGCGCACGTTCCGTTGCCGTTTGGAAGGGTAATGGTTCGACATTCGTATTTATGTAATTCAATCATTTCTTGCTCGGGATTTTCTTAAAAACGCTCTTCGCAGAGGCCCACTTCGGAAGAGCTCCGAACGGAGTGGCGCGGAGAGGGCGTCGGCGCCGGGACGTTGCCGCGTAAATCAAGCGAATCCGCGAGCGCCGGCGGACGTAGGGGAAACCGGCGCCGCGGCTGGGCGTTGTCCGCGCTATTTCGGGGTGCGCGGCGCGGCGCGGCGTGGCGCGGCGTGACGTAGCGCGCCACGCGGACCGCAGCCCTCCGTCGCTGCCGCTGCCACCGCCGCCGCTTCTGCCGCCGTCACCGCCGGCCGCAGCTTCTGCCGCGTCACCGCCGCCGCCACGCCATGGTCGTTCGCCGCCGCCGTTGCCGCCAACCGCCGCCGCCGCCACCGAGCCGGCCGCCCGACGACGTCACCGTTACGCGCCGCCGCCTCCGCCGCCGCCGCCGCCGCCGTGCACGCCGCCGCCGCCGCCGCCGCCACCGAAGCCGCCGCCGAGCGAGCGCCACCATTACCGCCGCTGCCGCTCCGCCTGCCTCCTCCGCTTCCGCCTCCGGCCGCCGCCGCCTCCGCG